TCAAGCTGAACCTTGCCCGAATTGCAAATGTACTCTGGAACAGCATGCTATTGTGTTGTATACAAACTATGAACAACTATTTACATAAATGTTGAGAAAGCTAAGTCCGGTTTTACACGGAAAACAGTGATAAAAGACACGCGGCATCAAAAACAAAGATGTTCTCTGTTTGTTTTCGGTGTATTGAAGGACTATTTAACCTAGATTTGTTTTATACACAAACGATGTACATATGAGATAAATATAAAAGACAATTGTTTGCATGTTCTCATTATTCTCCTCAGCAGTATTTACATAGTATTGAATAGACAAAGTTTTCTGAAAATAAAAGATGTGGCTACAATGCAATAGTAGGTTCAATATGGAATGAAATCACGATAATTCTAAACGTACATACCAAATTCTGCGCACGCTTAATAAAACGTACTTGGAACATTAATAATGATAACAGCCCACAACTTGTCAGCCCAAGCTTAACCAACTTTAAAGTAGATCCGTGTCGTTATCTTGACATACATTGGAACGACTAGGAAGTTCTTTGGGTCATTTTTTCTGCCGTCGATATGTTTCTTACTGCTTTATTTGGTCTGTATTTGACCTCGATATATACCGCGTATGTAAGATAGAGACTGAAATAATGACTTTCCATATAACAACATTTATTTACAAAGCTCTTCGTTTTCCAACAGTCAAAAATACACATTCACAAGCATATAAATATATGCTCATAGGTATACACAAATTACTATACACAGGCACACATACCCTCCTTACACGCAAAATTCTTCCCTCAAACATATACAAACAATGTACACACGAAAAAAGACTATATTTTTGCGCACATGTTATTGTCATCTTTATCTATAACATAATACAAAGGCTATGAGACTATTTCCATGATACTTACATTTCACTAGTTGTGCTCCACATATGAATATCAGTATTAATTTAACGATGATCATCTTTTTACTTTATCTTCAGCGAGTATACCTCTGTGAAACTATAAGAAACAACAAAGAGAAAAAAGAAAATGATGGTTCTTCAATTTTGAAGATATAATACCTGTTCCAGTATGAATTTCTCGGAACAAAATTAAGATTAAACGGGGTAAACACGGCACTCATTTCGTCTCAACAGAACCTGTCAGTGATTCTGAGGACCATAATTTAAAGGTAAATAAGCGAAAATGTAAAATATGATCGAAAGAAATGTTACGGTCTTAATGTGAGGTGTACTTGACCAATTTTATATTTTCAAAATATTGGAATATTTAAAAACAATTAAACGAGTATATGTTATTATTTATAGATACATCATTCAAATGAAGCGAAATACATGTTACAATATAAATTTAAGAGTTAAGATTTAAGTTTAAGATTTAGCAAGAATCTGCATAAGGAATTAGAGAAAGGCCATTCCGGTTGTTTTATAAAAAATTGAATAACAAAATCAAGGATGCTGCTTGTTGGTCATATATCACTGGTGTACAGTAGGTCTATTAGAAAAGGAACAATCTATATACAACAGTGTATGATACACCTGAATGCAAATAAAAACAAATGCATATACTCACCTTTCTCTCAAGCTTCATGTATAGATAGTTGAACCTTTCTGTCGTTGATAGTTGTGTTTGATTTGCTTAAAATAATACTGATGATAGTCAGTTATTTCCTTCCTGTACTGATTTACATCTACAGGAAGGCAATCTCTTTAATATAAAGGACTATAAACATTTTCTTCACAACACAACTATGTTTCGTTATCTTCCAAAGCAGAACAGAAACTTTCACTAAGCGTGTTCACTTTTTTTAAAGGAATGTCCGATCGATAGTTAAGGCCTTACTTACATGTTTGTTATATTAGCACAAATCCACAGTAATTAAGCCCCCCTCCCTCCCCCCACCTAAGTATGACCTTAAGTATGATTACCCATAGGGTACTGCCTTCCATCATGTATGTAGTGTATATTGGATTAAATTTATATGTTTGTTTTTTAAAATCATATCTACAAGTATTCTGTCCTTTTATAAATCCATATATATTACCACGGATACGCATTTTGAAGAGTAAGCTATTTTCCACATAATATATAATACTTTTTAACAAAGTCAATAGAACTAGATACATGGTATAACTACTTCTTATGTTTCCTCTTCCGTTTGCTGAGCTGGGTAATATTCTTAATTTGGACTGAAATGTGATTGTTTGTGCTGCGGAGGAGATAATGATGTGTCATCTTCTATTACATATACAATATTGAAGGAGCGGAGAGACTGTCACTAGCTCCCGTCCACAGAACCTGTATTTCCAGTTCTGATTTCTGTAATTCTCGGTTCGCTATACATTTTCCAGTTTCACGATTCTGCCCTTCTTCCACATACAAGTTTTTATTCGTAAAATATGAAAAGTAATTGTTTTAAAGGCATACGTTACTTAGTGTCAAGATAGCGTGGTTGGTTTAATATCATAGCATACCAATTTAAGGAACTCCCACCCCTAACTCACACCTTCCTCCGCGCCGAAGAAATGTTCCTGGAATGGCGGTGATAAATTTCGGGCCATGCTTTCTTGGAGTTTTCCTATTTCTGAAATTTCGTCAGATATTACGAAAGAAGAAATTGCACAATTGATCACACTTTCTTTTCATTGAGTGGCTTTTTAGATGTTTTCAGCTGTTTCGTTCTATCAATTCCTGCCAAAATCAAGTAATTAATGCATTAATGCAAAGTGTTGAGATTATAAATATTAATTCTCTCCATTTAGAGGCAAAGTTTAACAATCCATGATAACTTAACTGATAATCAATTGTACGACATATTCAAACAAATTTGAAATGAGATCCAACAAGGCGTTAAAGGGTAGTAACTCGGACATCTTACACACATTTACACACATACATGTACGTGCACTAGTGTGTTAATTACAGCACATATATTCACCATCAAATTTCAGCAGATTTAAAACGTCCATGGGCATTATCACACAGGTCACAGCTCCGATTGATACATTAGATAAAACTACTAGAGTATACACAGTATGTACTTAGAACGTAAAGTACATGTTATAGACATCCCGTCTTTTGAAGTAATGTATAAACAATGCGCATCCGCAAGATTATCGATGTGGTTATGATTACTATTACTATTAAGAGAAGTAAACGATGTAACCAAAAAATAATGATATACTGTTTCATCATCAACATAAACTTAAACAATTTCAAGAATACATCCAATGCAAATCACTGATAAAATGTCTTGTTAACATATATCTAAGCTCAGTTTGGAGATTTTCCAGCAGACTAATGACCTACCTTTTGGAATAAACTATATTCCTCTCTTGGCCGAGTATTTTAGATCGCGCAACATTCGACGAATTGGTTTAAAGGGTTGGTATTGCCAGTGTTAAAGATTCAATATATGTGTTATATCTTGTTCAACATACGCTAACTTTTGATTCTTAATTATTTCATTTATTCTTTTTATTATCATTATAGTTTATATATGTTCCTATTCTATAGTTTCAGACTAAATCTTTTCGGAAGCAATCAAATCCTTATGCTAGGCACAATAACCCATTAAGAGAGAGCTACTTCTTCATGCAAAAGAGGTATCTTCAAAGGGTCTACATCACGGTATAGAATTCACGTTAAAGTAGATGTGTTTATTGTGAAACATTTGGGCACTAAATACAAGTGCCCGTTATGAGACTGAAAAGGAAACTAGACTTCCGATCAGGAAACAAGACTATGCTGGTAAAACAGATAACACATTTATCAGCAGTGACTCATCAATCGCTTTAAAATAAGTGTTTATCTAACAGAAATTTAAGCGATTTGCTATTGTAGTAGACCGAGGCACAGATGAAATAATGTACGTGTTTTAACAAGTAACCAAATAGAAGTCCATACCCGATCGTAGAATACAATTCAGGTCTCCATAATGAGACTTAAGTGGGATATCTACAACATCCATCCATTCACTGACATGAACAGGCATTAATAATTTATCATAAGTTACTATTTTGAACGTCCTCACGCACGTTTCCAAATTAAACCTATTCTTAATAGATATCTGTATACCTAATTTGGTGATGAATGGCCCCTGTGATAAAAAGAGACAGATACTTTAAGCAACACCGAATATTTAAGCTACATCAAATATTTTAAGCAACATGAAATATTTTCAGCTACATCGAATGATTTAAACTACATCAAACACTTTTTAAAACATTCAATATCTCAAGCTACCTCAAATATTTCAAGCTACAACAATACTTTAAGCTTTTCAGGAAATGTTCAGACAAATGGCATGTCCATTTCAAGTTTCACAATGCGAATATAGGACTCTGTTGGTAGACACCTACCCTTCAATATTTTAATGATTGTTTATTGGTGACATTTCACTCCGTTCGTCTGAGGAATTACTCCGCATACTTTCGACAATTTTGGGACATTTTCCTAAACATTGCTTAGTGGAATTTTTGCTTTTCTAATAGATTACCCCAAATATCAAATCCTATTTTACAGACAGCTTTCTACGTGATTGTAACATTTTGTGTTCTAAAAACGGAACAGAAATTCTAATTAAATATTGAATAGTTCTTACCTAAATGCAACATCGCAACACCAAATTGTTTGAAATCACCAAAAATCAGAAGTATCCTGTTATCTCACTTACAAATGCAAGAGCATTGATTGTTTTATTAAAATACACTATTTTCGTGCAAGAAGCTGTCAACTGACGAACAAACTCATAACCATAACTCTTTATTAAGTTGAGATATGGATTATTTAATTTTGCTTTTATTGACAAAACACCTTCAATTAAGAAAAGCGTGTACCGAACACGATACATAACAAATGGAAACAATACGTTGTAGCATCCTGATCAAATGGAATGCATTTAAAGCATCCGTAACAACTGGTGCGTTACAAGTTACTCAGCATACACTACTCTTTACAGTCATGTATAGCGCACAGACGTGTAACATCTGTCCGAACGATGTGGATCAACAGGAGAAAGTTGTGTGTTGTCTCTTTACTAATCCTCGTCGCGTATATGATTATAAATGGTAATCTCTACCGTTCTGCATATCAAAAGGCGCTGGAAAATCATCATAATTTCGTGACGGCCACTAGAGTTCAACCATCAACCATAATAATAGATAATGACCAGACAACATCACTCACAAGTGCCACCAATATATTTGTGTATGATAAGGAGTTACCTTTTGAAAACTTTTCCTACCCGTTGGACGTAGATATAGTGAGATTGATACAGGACTACAAACGTACTGGAGAGGTCAGTCATCGTGCCATCAATAACTTTACACAGCGCTTCCTACATAATTCATCAAACAAGTGTAGAAGCGACGTAGGCGGTAGCAAACCCCAAACAAATGATGTATTTCTTCTCTTCGTGGTGAAATCGAAGAGTGATCACTGGAGTGCGAGAAAGGCGATTCGGGAAACCTGGGGTAATGAAAGTTACTTGACAAAGTTTACGATTAAAACGGTATTCATATTAGGTACCCCTGTGAGCCAATCTCTGATTCCCATTTGGAAGGAAATCAAACAATTCGACGATATTATCTTGATGGATTTCCAGGATACGTATTTCAACAATACATTAAAAACATCCACTGCGTTTAACTGGGTACCTGAATTTTGTTTCAACGCACGCTTTGTTATGCTGGTTGACGATGATATTTATGTATCATTGAAAACACTGGTCTTGTTCCTCGACCAGTTACCGGTGAGTAAACGCGTTCAGTTATATATGGGACGAACCTACAGTGGTTTTAAACCACACCGTAATGTTACCAGTAAGTGGCACGTCCCGGTGTCTGAGTATCAGTGGGACACATACCCACCTTTTGTAGCAGCCGGAACAGTAATAATGACTATGGACTTTGTGTCGGACGTACGGACAGCCATGCGGTATACTAAACCGTTTAGGTTGGATGATATCTACTTGGCTATACTAGCATACAAACTGGGCGTGGCACCTGTGACCAATGTAAATGTTTACGGATATAGGGTGTCAGATAGGAATATAAAGTTCTCTAATCTTCTGACATCACATGGATATACACCAGAACGTCTCAGAAGAGCGTGGGAGATACATTTACAACCACTTTGACTTGTGAAACATATAAAAACGATAAGCAATGAAGCACGATTCACCAAATATGGACATGTAATCAATTATGTAGATTTATAATTTGTATTATCTGTCTTTGCAGAAAGCTTAAATTTTCAAATAAAAGGTATTATTCACCTGCGTGTCTTTTGTGAAATCTTTTAATTTAATAAGACTATTTGAGGAATCATTTTTTAACAGATTCTTAATACAATTTCCCGGAAAGATTTTGTTCGCGTAACTAAGAAGATAAATCGTCTCTGGATTATTTTTTGTAAGTTCTCAAAATTCGAATCACTGATATTACTTACACAACAGTGAATATATTGTGTGTTTATGCAATATGTATCTTTGTCGAAAGGGTGTTGTTTTTGTCTGTACTTAACGGTTTTATAGCATTGTTAGAACTGTCACGGTTATTGTGTTGTGATGTTACGGTTATATCTTCCTGTACATATATACAGAATTTGAATGATTTCTTAACCAATCAGCGTATTTTCACGCAAAATCAAATAAATTATTTAAAATGATTAAATAAAAACAAAAACATTTCTGCTTTTCGTTTTCTTCCATTACAGATTTTTTTCTCTCAAATAGCGCTTTATTGCAAATTCATTAATTATTTGCATTGTTTCATTCTCTAAATGGACATATCCACCATGTCATCTAACCCTGGATGTCAAATGATCGGAGGAAATATAATACAGATGTTAAGCTAAGGGGAAGTTACTCAGTGCCTTTGGATACGCTATGAATCATATGAAAATCCAATTTAAGATACAAAATACATGTTATTGATTATGATGTGAACTCGAAAAAAAGAAAGTATTGAAAGGAAGAGTGAGCTTAACGTTTTACGATGATACCGTGAATATTATACATTGACATAACAAAACAATTCTTTGATACAAAAATACCGATATGTCAACAGAGTCTTCTTTTCCCCCATGCATTTGATGTCGGGCAAGCATTGAAATACTTGAAATTAGAGTCTTCACAAAATTGTAACAATCTCTGAGAGAAAAAAACGCTAGTCAACACACGCTGTTGTGTCTACCACCCATTACTGTTTTGATCGGAGCCTCACTTTAAACCGCCGTTTTGATATGATTTCTTACTATGTATAATTATGTAACAAGCCAAAACTTTATTTGCAAGCCATGTTTTAAGTCTTACTATGTAAAATGCTCTCTCGTTGCATGCTACATGCTTGACAGAGCGAAATACTGTTATGAATTAGTGTTGGGTCGCTCGTACGTTGTTTAAATTTTTTGACGTTGGTTATAAAATGGTTATGCAGACTTTAAAATGTTACAGAATGTTCACAATTACAAAAATAATATTTCAATGTTATAGGTTTTTTATCACTTATGAAACAAATATCTAACCATTTAGTCCCTTTAAATTCAAACTCATAATGGATGAAACGTAAGCCAAAAATGAACAAATGGGACTTATACGGAGACCACCGAAAAGGTTCAGGAAAAATACGACTAGGTGTCCCGGAAGGATAAGGATGTTCTGCTCCACTGAAGACACCCGCAATATAAATCTTGGTCAATTCATTTAAGTGAAAATATTATTCCGTATATCATGTTTATAATCCTACAATTTCTATTCATTTCTATTTAAAGATACTATTTGAATATCCCCGACATTTTTTAAATTATCGACTGTTTAAAAAAAATTACCGAGTTATGAGGACACTGCCATTATAATGATAATTGTGTTACCCTACCTCGAATGTCACAAAAAACCATCGAATTTTTTATCTTCAGATTTCTGACATCTTTGACGGATACCTAAAGGACGAAACAGCGCATGATGCAATTCGAAATGTCATATCGTATATATTTATTCACTATTTGATCTGTAAGGAAAGACGGTGTCGAGATGTGTTTCATTTATATAACATAACGTGGTACCTATAGATGTCTAATGGCCCGAAATAACAAAGTATCATTTACAGAAAGTGAGTCAAAATATATTGTTCGGATGTATACAGACTGACCAGAGGTCATCAAGCCGTAAATAGGTACAAGTATTTTCTCTTACATCACACCAAGCACCAAAAATACCACGAGGTCATGGACTAGTCTGGAGGTCAGGGTTTCCGACGTTAATAGAACAGCCGATCTTCATTGTGAAATGTCATTCTTACACTTTGCCAGGTCAGATTATGGAAACATGTAGCGCATGTTGTAGCTTATTCATGGCATTTTCTCGCGCAGCGATATATCCTGAGTGCATTTCGAAATTAAAGTTTATTAGATAATATTGTCAGACCAATAAGATAGATAATTTTGACCTTTAGTAGGTAATAGTATAGGGGACTCTTGTAACTCCCAGAGGGTCAAACAGGAACATTATATGATAATTTGCTGTTGTTCGTGCTTATTTTTAGATATCTGGTTCTCTTTGGCAAGGATTTGTGACGGCAGTAAGATTCAAAGTAAAGCGAAATTTCATTAATCTCTCGTTGCCACGCTATTGATCCTGGCATCATTTTCATGGTTGGTTGAGGTAGCTGAGAATAATTAATAATAGATATATATCCTGGTTCCACACGCTAAAAAAAAACTGCAGGTGTAAATTACTAATGCACAGGTTGAACGCTTTGTCGAATGAACCAACGTGGCCGAAGCGTCATTTTCGGGATAGTATATTAATACACCCGGAAGCACATTTGGAAGGTTACACAATCGACCTGTTTCCGCTGTAAGCGTTTCACGATCTCGCCACACTATTCCCCACGTTCATGTATAAAAAATGTAGCACAGCTGATTCAATGGCAATCTCGTACAAATCAACCATTATTTCTAATACCTTGAACTCTTCATACCGTCCATTCGTCCGATGAAGTTAACGGTGCAGTAATCAGCAAGCCACATATAAATGTTCACGTGTTGTGATATTAAAATATTTATTTAGTCCTGGTTGATTTCAGTCTAATAATACATTGCAAAACCTACTGATAACAAATTGTCCGGAGTTTATTGTGAACTCCCATCATCATGAGTCCTCCCCAGACCCAATGTTATAAATGTCAGAAAAGGAGGCATCGTTTTACCACTAAAACAGAAAAAGGGTAATTAATATCAAACATTAGTGTTTGTTTCCGATGAAATTATAGTACTGCTTCTCTGTCTGTTTCAATAATTAATTACCTTGCCTGTATTGCATTCTATTAGGCATATATAATTAAGAGCCAATGTTCTACCTGTGGATCTGCAGATCACCTGAGGTCAGCCAATCCAAAATATAGTATACTTTTGGGAGAACCAAGTTCGTGATAGATGCTTAGAACAGGAGCGAAAGGTAATAGGTCTGTAACATACTATACATGAAAAAAATGTTGAAATATGTTGTACAGTTCATTACAAAATTGGTATTCAAAATTTCAATCATATAAGTTATAATCCTATTCTGTCTTATTTCCAACAGTAGGTGATTACCTTGCTTACTTGTTAACATATTTCAAGAACAACATATCTCTGTATTAAACTGTTTTTATCTAATTACCTAGAAGGACACGCCGAAACAGTTATAACTCTTTATTTGTATGAAAAGTTGCTTTTCACTTTTGTGTCTTTTGTACATTCTTTCAGACTAATTTCTTTGGAATATGGCTGACAAAACATCGAATAAAATTCGCAGACCAAGATCGTTGAATATCATGCGACACGCGATCTTATCAGGTAATTCTGTAAGATGTTTGAAATGATTCAGATGTTTTGTGATGTATCTGATTATTTGCAGACAATATATAACAATGTATCTGATTGTATCTGATGATTGACCTCCTGTTACACACTTATGGTGTGATTGGAGTGATTAATAAAACTTGTAAACTTGTGTTTTATTCAAGTTTTATATTCCATATTGCACTTTGGAAATCAAAACTACTTGTCGTTGCTTTTTCACAGTTCTGATATTGTGTTTTTATTATCTATTTTCTTCTTTTCATTATGAAACACATCAGGCAAATATGTAGGAAATTGGGTCATTTGAATTCTCTTTTTCAAACTCCTTCCTTAAACTTCCTTAAAAATACAAAACGCCTGGCTTCTTTATATAATAGAAATATATCGTAATTGAACATCGGTTCCAAAATATTAACTCTATCATTAACAGGCAGGTTTATAAACAAGACAAACGGGGAATATTGTCAATATGAAAAAGTGAAGATCAATATTGAATATCAAATCCAATTTAACATAACTGTGACACAGTCTGATAACATAAAACCAGCCTAGCTTGCGATGTACATGAAAATGTCCTCACTTTAACGAAATTCTGTTAACACTCAGTGTGGTAACACCAGACCAGCCTAACGATGTACATGAAAATGACCTCACTTTAACGAAATTCTGTTAACACTCAGTGTGGTAACACCAGACCAGCCTAGCGATGTACATGAAAATGACCTCGCTCTAACGAAATTCTGTTAACACTCAGTGTGGTAACACCAGACCAGCCTAACGATGTACATGAAAATGATCTCACTTTAACGAAATTCTGTTAACACTCAGTGTGGTAACACCAGACCAGCCTAACGAGGTACATGAAAATGACCTCACTTTAACAAAATTCTGTTTCCCTTTAACTCCCAACTACGCATTTTTACGCATTGTGACGTCTGTGATGGAAAACCAGTCATATCTCCCTTATTGATGGAGGTATTGATCTACTGATTATACTTCACAAATTTGGAGAAAATGCTGAACAGCTTTTGTTTTTTTTTATTTGGTAATTATTTCTTAAGCTTTTTGCGAGTTGAAAATACAAGGCATGTTTTCCCGAGCATCTTGGATTTATGATATCGTGTGTACGGTGTACGTAAATGTATATTGGTGGGTCCGGCTTGTATTCCACACATATATTCATAAAGAACGAGATATTTCACTCGAATGTCAATACATGGATACCTAACATCCAATACCTTATGTATGGACATTGTGCGTCTGTATTGATAAAGAATCGGCTGTAATTCTCTTTTTTAAACATGTCTTCATTTACGACCGTTGCCGAAGAAGTTTCCGTAAGATGGAAACATTTATGATATGATGTATGTCCTATTCAGACTTTACAGCGATCTCTC